GTTCTCCCATTTTACAATATTTTAGTTAGGGAGTGTGTACATGTGCACATGTACACCTGTATAGGTTTAATCTTCTGAAACATAGCGAGGTAGTTTCTTTAGTGTGTTTTGTTCTTTTGCTTTTTTGTTTAGTTTATTCCCTTTTGATAAGATGGTGGATGATACTTTTATTAAATCAATGTAAATAGTTACATTTAACTATGTAACTAATATGAAAGATTTCAAGGTCAGGTTTACCAATACCTTACCTTGAAAATGGTATAAACCTTAACTGTTGGGCACTTTTCTGCTAGTGTTAACTGGCTTTGTACCACTAAAAATCTTGCATGATTTAGGGATCTACTAAAAAAGAATTAAACATTACTTGAATTATTTAAAGGACACAAGGATATGTGGCAAGGTAGTACTAAAAATTGCTAATGAACCCAAATGCCTGGTGAATGACTCCTACCTCGAGTAGAGGAATGGTGTTGTGATCTGTAATGTATATACACTTGTAGCATATTGATTCCAGTGCAAAAAAAATCTATTTCTAATTCAGTTTAAAATATTCTGTGTACTTGTGTACTCTGAAATAGTTTAGAGAGTCAAGTCAAATGATTACTTTTTTAAAATACCAACTGTGGAAAGTACTGTAGCCATTCAGGTCCAAAATATTGGAGTATGCCTCTTTGAAGTAAAGAGGAAAGTTTATTAAGTAAAGGATTTCAGGTTTTACTATATGATAAAGCAGCTTACAGTTCATTTCTTCTTTGCAAAAGTTTGCTTGCTGCTTGTGTCTAATAGAGATGCTAGCAACTGTGTTTATTTCCACATTGTCCCTCCTGCCACCTTTCTCCTCCTCCTTCCCTTTCCCCCCCAACCCAGTCTTCTCAAGTTTATAAAGTTACTCTGTCTGTGTCATCTTATCTTGTTGGAAGCTGTCAGATGAAAAGTATGGCTATGAAAGTAGTACTGTTGGAAGCTGAAACCAGATCAATTTTTTTTTTAAAGTATGCAGAAGTTGCTAGTGCTTCTCTGTCATCAGAGTGATTTGATCTTTTAGCTTCTCTGAGAAACTATTAGTGTCTCCCTTCTCACCAGCTTTTAAAAATGAAATGATGCAAATATAAATGCAACATTGGCACTGGCATCAGTTGTGCGGTCTACACTTTCTGTACAGTTCAGGGTGATCTGGAGTGGGAACAGCAGCAAGAGAATGCTGCTTTATGTACTAAAATGGGAATTTTTTTATAGTTAAGGATAAAAGTCTTAAAGAAGCAGTAAAACAAATTTATCTTGCATTCCAGCTCTTGATCAATGGATGTGAGCCAGCTTGATTCATCTAATTAGATATAATAGTACATTTATTTATCACTTTATGGCTACCAACCAGTATGAAAAGAGGAGTATAGGACATTCAGTAAATAGTAAATAATGTACATGTAATGAGCAAAAAGACCAAGTCATTCATATTTTAGAGAAATACTTACTTAGTCCGCCATATTTTCAAAAAGTCTCTATTACCCCTTTTTGAACTTATTAATTTTTTTTTTTGCCTACATAAGTTCTGCAAGCATTTCTAAAGCATCTATTGTATCTATACATCATACATGAATTACAGAGTAGTCAGAACTCTCCTGAAAGCCTGACAACTATCTTGAAAACCAGTTAATGTTTTGTAATGCTCTTGACTTTATTGCTGGCTTCTGCTTTTGAGGTTGCTGTTTCTTTTTTACTTTAGTTTTCTTTTCTAATTTTTGGGAGAAAACATTTGTGAGAAGGTAAATCTTATAGCATGAAATCTGTAGTACTTTTCCTGAAGCCTTTTGGGAAGGATATTTCAGAGTTTTGGGTCTTCTGTTTGTTTCAAAATCACCAGGATGCAGATAATAACAGGGCCAAAACTGTGAAGGCATGCTTTGTTAGTTTGTATCTTTTAACTGGTTATTAGTCAATTAAGAAATTTACAAAGTAAAGGCCTACTTTTTGCCAGTCTGATAGCTTTGCTTAGTCTTTTCCAGTGGAAGTCTTCAGTTGTCTGTAGGGTTCATGTGCATTAGGCTTTATATCTGCCAGATGAAGGCTGGATTACATTGCAGGAGTTGATCACAGTTAAACATGACTGTGCTGTTGTGTAGATGAGCCAATGCTGACCATGACTTAGGAGTTGGTGAGAAATAGACAAAACACTTCCAGCATTGTGTAACTAACCAGGTCTCAACATTTCTGGGACCAGTGTTTGTGTTTGGTATACAATTAAGTTACATAGAAAATCTGATTCCAAGCTGTTGAGCCTATAATGGCCATGATCAGTGAGAACAGTGCAGTGTAGTCCAGGGGTTGTCAACTGGGGGTATGTGAGAAGGCCGTAGGGGGTAGGCACAGGCGGGTGGGGATGGAGCACCACCATGCACTATCCTGTGCTGCTGCGCAGGCACTGCCCACCCGGCCAGACACAGGTGGCAGAAGAAGCTTGCATGTGGCAGCTGCCACCGTTCCGCATTCAGCCATGTGCCACCGTGCTCTTCCTCTGCTGTGTGTCCAGTTTCCAGGGGTACAGTGATCCAAAAAGGTTGAAAACCCCTGTTGTAGGAGTTGGGTGAAGTGCCTCATCCTTCCTGTGCAAAGAAAAGTTTTTAAGTGTGAAAATATATACAGAATATATATATATTCTTTGGCTTCTCTGCTCACTTTTAACAAATAGGTCTGTTTAATGCCAACTGGGGTGAGGGATTGTTGTTGTCATCCATAGCTGTTTGCTAAGAACAGCATTGGGATATTGAGCTCATTTCACTTAAGTACTATTCCAGACTGGAAATGAATCACTTCTCCCTAGTTACCTAGTTTCAACGTCCTTTCTTGAAGTTCCTGTTTGCATCATCCTTTTTCTGGCCAAGGAAAACCAAATGCGACTCCCTTAAGAGATTATTAACACTACTACTTAAGTAGCTGATGGATTTACTTTTGAGTGATGCAAAATAATTCCTTCTTTTTATTATGAGTCCACTTTTTCCTTTGACCTTATTCCATACCATATTTACTTGAATCTAAGATGAGGTTTTTTACCCCATTCAACATAGGGGGTGGGAGTGTGGAAAGCCCCTTGGTTTGAATTTGAGTACTAGGTAGTGGGGAGGACTAGGCAGCTGCTCTTGCTGCTGCTCCAGCTCTAGCTCTGGCACTTACTTGGGATCAAAGTAGAAGCTGGATCTGCAGCAAAAGTCCTGTCTGCCTCTCCCCACTCCTGCCTCTGCCCCCTTCCTCTTCTGCTCCATGGCATCTGCCCCACCACTGCTCCTGCCACTGGCTCTGGGCCCCATCTGTTTTGACAGCAATGGGTGCAGTAGTGGCGCTGCTATTGAACATGTATGTACGTAGAGTATGAACATGTAAAAGCATGTATTTGCAGATCAGGCCCCCAAGATGGAGGTTGTCAACCAGGGGTACACGTACCCCTGGGGGTACTTGGGAAGGCCCTAAGAGGTACGTGCAGGTGGGCAGGGACAGAGTGCCACCACCCACCATCCTGCACTGCCAGCTACCAGGAGCAGGGCTAGGGGACGAGGGGGGGGACGGAGGGCAAGGGTAGTGGTGCCCCTTTGTGGGTTTCACAGGCATTGCCTGGCCGACAGGATGCAGGGGGGTTGTGGGGAAGCTCACACATGGGCCAATACCGCCACCCACTGCTCTGCTTCCAGCTGCGTGCCACCCCACCAGCCCACATCCAGCCACTGGGGGTACGCTTATTAAAAAAGGTTGAAAACCCTTGCCCTAAGAGACTAGAAAACAGATATAGGCAGTCCTCAGCTTACAACGTTTCGCACTTACAACCTTTATAAATTGAGATTCAATTATATGTTCAACTGTTTCAACTTTATGACGTCAGTTTCGACTTTACAACGCTTGATCCGATGCGACGCCACGCCAGCCAACAAGTTTGCTGCATCACTCATCTCCCTGGAGAACATCTGTCCAAACTTCCTTGGACACTTTCTTTAAGAAAGCAGACAAGACACCAGGAAAACCTGCAGCCAAGACTCCTGAGAAGAATTCAGCCAAGAGCCCTTCAAAAAGTCCAGCAAAGTCACCTCAAAGAAGTCCGTCCAAATCAATATGATTGCTATTTACAATATAAATACATTAATGTAGCTATATTACTCATCTATAATTGATCGAGTACAAAAATCTGGGGTATTTTTAGTGAAAATAGGGTGTCGGGCCTTGGTTCAGGAACCAATCCCCCATTTATAACATTGTTTCTTATGAGAAAATGGGTTTCAAGTTATAACATTTCGACTTAAAACACGGTTTTCAGGAACCAGTTGTGTCATAAGTCTGAGGACTGCCTGTAGATGATCAACAATAACCTGTTGAAATACACTAAATGTAGAAAAAACTGCATTGTAGTATTAATGTTATAACTTAAGCAAAAATCAGGCAATACAGAAGTTAATTGTCCAGTTCCACAGTTTTTATTGGATGAGTAACTGGCCGCTATCCCTAGTCTCACCAGCTTTCAATCTGCAGATACTTAGTTTAGATTTAAAGTTTTTCAAAGTAGTTGTAACAATCATACTGCACCCATCTCTGATTATAATTGCCAACAGTTTTAGTAAGAGAATGTAAAGATGAGATTACTTATTAAATTAGTATCCCCTGTGGTTCAGTGGTAGAATGCTGGTCTACCATACAGAAGACCTGGGTTTGATTCCCAGATACTTATACAACTACTGCCATGGAGGCACCAAGCATCTGGACTCAGTTTGGGTTTTGGTTTTTGTTTCAGTGGCCTACAGGGAGGATGGAAAGTCTGGGCAGCCTCCACTCCTCCAAAAAATTCCTGCTAGGCATATGCATCAAAGGTCTGGGTGGCCGTCATGCACACACCAAGATCCAGGAGGATTGATGGTTGCCACCACTTATTAGACCTTTAAATATTTGAGTGAAGCCAAAGAATGTACATTTTTGTGTAGCTTATTCAAATGTTTAACTGAAATGTCACTTATTTTTGTTTATAGATTCAAAATATGAACAACATAATCACTTTCCCATTGGACAGTTTGCTGAAGGGAGACCTGAAAGGAGTAAAAGGGGTATGGTACTCTTATTTCTGGGTTTTTTTTAAGTTTTTGTTGGTGCAATGAATTCATAAAGCTAATATGTCAATTTAATTACACTTACAGAGAAATGCAGTAGCTAAGTAGTACACTACTTCAGTAACTGGAATGACTATGGCATCAGCTGCATACTAAATAATTTCATACCTTTCCATACATCCATTTAAAAGAATCCTGGCATCTGATCCACGATCCCAGCAGTTGCACCTCCTACCATGCCCTACAGGCGTGGCGGGATGCACAATTTTGATATCAGAAGTCAGGGATCATTCCTTTTCTACTTTCTGTTGTAGGGGGAACCCTGGGGTCTGGGGCCAGGGCTGACAGTCAGCTGATTGTTGTCTCTAGCCACAAGACTGAATTGAGATCTTGACTGGCCCTAGTATGCTTTGGTACCAGAGCTGACATTGAGTTGAATTAACTTGAATCAGCTGTGTCAGCCCTAGCCCTAGACCTGCCACACATTCTGTTTAATACACCATACAAAACAGCCATAAAAATGTTCCACATTACATGTGGAACATTTTTATAGCTGGTTTGCCATTTTATGGCATCTTAAATTGAGTGTGCACTGCACATGTAGCATCTTTGCCACTTATACTATGATTAATGTGTTAATCATGGCATAAATGTAACATGTAAAGGGAGCCTCAGATAGTGATCAGATGTTTTAACTATAAAACATAGAGGGAAAGTTCCTCCAGAAGGTGTAAAGGTTTTCAGGCCAGAAAATTACAAAGGATTATAGAGAGCTTGGATAAAACTTCTGCAGAAAGAGTTTTGGCAGAGTACTTTAATTCATTTGTATTTAAAGTGGATTGCTTTAAATTATTATTAAATGTTATTATTAAATTTTATATAGCATTGTTAACTTTACAGGTATATAGTACGTATTTTCTTAGCATGAATAAATGTAGAGTTTAAAAAATGGAACCAAAATATATTCTAAAAGTGTATTGTGAATGTTTCCTGTTTTGTAGTATTAACTATAACCTGAGATTGAATAAATTTAGAACCCAAACGATAATGTGCTTAACACATTTCAAAACCAAGAGCCAAAGAGTTCATTAGCTTGGTGTCAGTTTATTACTGAACAAACAGGAAGCGACTGGAAGCTATTGTTCTAAAATTCTCAAAGAAAGAAAATAAACCTACAAAAAAATTACTATAAACTGCTGAAAGATGATGATTAAAAAAATAGGCAAGTGTCCAGCGCTGTTGGTCTTCTCACTAATTTCCATTTATCGTGCTTCTCGTTCTTCCTTTTCCTTGTGTTTTTCTATGCTCTTCCTGCAGTGCAGGACACACTCTCTGCAGTGTATTTCTGCTTCTCTTATGTTTCAAAACTAAACTGGAAAGAAGGGTCAAACTGCTAATCCTACATAAATGTTCTCTAACGTTACACTCTACTTTAAGTTAATGGGGCTATCCACAGAATATAAAGCAGGGGTAGGCAATTAGTTCGGCTGGAGGGCCACGTAATGAGTTTCAGTGAGCTGTTGAGGGCTATGCATGCACAATCTTTCAGAAGATACAATTTTAACAAATTATAGATAAACAATCATATACTAAATATCAAACATCTGCTATAACCTATTTTAATTACATTTCAAACTAATTTTTGTCCTGATTAGTACACATTTTTTGAGTAGTCTATATAAAGTGATTGCATAGCTCAAAATAAAGTTTTACTCTTGTATATTGTGTGTGGGGGGGAGGGTGGGGGGCTGCCTATGTACTAGGCCTCAGGAGCTGGTCAGGGGTGGGGGCTGGGGGCATATGCAGCAGAGCTCACTCAGGCAGCGCAGGTACAGTCTGCTCCCACAGCTGCCCCCATGTCACTCTGCATGGTGCTGAGCCCCACCCTCTCTTGCCTGGGGTAGCACGTGCTGCGTTCTCGCCCAACCCAGCCCCAGGCAACGCGCACAGCTTCCCAACAGGGCTGCTACCAGTAGAGCTGCAGTGACCCAGGTACTACTCAGCTCCCCCCACCTCTAGTAGCTTCTCTTCCTGCTCCTGGTGTGCTGCTCCAGGTAGCAGGTAATGCAGGGAAGCAATGGGGACACATGCTGGGCAGCAGATCTCCAGCCTGGCTGAAGGAAGCTGCAGTCAGGTGGGTCCTGCCCTAGCACACAGGACTCCAGTCCCAGCTGCCTTTCACCCACTCTGCCTTCCTGCCATTATGAGCAGGCACCCATGAGTAGCTGAGTTGGGTGGAAGGTGGCAGAGAGCTGGGGCTGGAGCCCTAGGCACTGGGGAAGGAACCACTTGATTACAGTTTGCCTCCCTGCCTGGCTGGGCATGTGGTGCCTGGCGCCCAACCCCACAGCTGCAGTCACTACCCATATTGGTGCAGCAAGGGCAGGAGGTGGCAGAAGAGCTACTGGAGGTGAGGAGAGCTGAGCAGTACCTGGGCAGCCATAGCTGCACTGGGAGCAGCCCCACTGGAAAGCTGTGTGCGCTGGCTGGGGCTGGGGCAGGCCAGAGAGTGGTTTAGGCTGTCCTGGGTGGGGCTTGGCCTTGTGCAGAGCACCGCAGGCTGGATGCAATCAATTGATGGGCACCTGCCTGCAAACTGGATCCAGTCAGTTGGCAGGGTGGACCTGGCTCACAGGCCATATGTTGCCCACACCTGATATATATAAGGTTTTGTTTCCAAATGTGAAGGAACAAGGCATTAGACTGTACACATGAGACTTTCATGTCTTTGGAAGGGGTAAAAAGGGATGAGGAGGAGAAGAAATCAGTCAACAAGACTTAAGGTTTTTAAAAATATCTTTTTCCTTTCTTTAGTTTGATGGACCCCTTTTCGTTTGCTTTCTGTTTTTTCATGCAAATTTCACCTTTTCTGTCTCTCTCCCTGCAGCAGACAAGCAGAAGCATGTTTACTGCTCACAATTACCTTGAATATGCAAAGTATGAGAGTCAGTCATTGCAACAGGATTTACATATTCTTAGTAAAATTGTAGTATTTATACAAATTGGGATAACTGCAAACCAAATACAGAACAGTATATAACCGATAATAACCCTTCAGCTCTGTATTTATAGCAGTACAGTATCGCTGCACACTGGATTGACTGCGCCAACTTAATTTTAATGGTTATATTTTCTTTAAAAAAACAAAAACTCAAATGTATCTCAAGTCACACAATAAGTGACTTATTTATACAAATAATTATTAGAATTCATCCAGTTCATGGATGATATTTATGGCAGCATGCTATGCAAAGCTATACATTGCTTTGTATATGTCAAATGCCTCAGTTTTTGGCTTGCTTTGTATTCAATCCAACAGCAATTCATTGCTGTACCCTCTGCATGC